CCACCCCCGCCCGGTGAGCCCCGCCCCCACACCGGTGGGCCCCGCCCCACCACTAGTGGGCCCCGCCCCTTCCGACTACCCGGCCCAGGCCCTTCCGCACCTCACACAGCAGTCCCGACTCTTGCAGGTTCAGGAGGCAGCACAGGAACAGCTGTGGGGGCAAGGGATGCTACAGCTGGGAAGGGGGTCCCAGCCCAGAACCCCCACCCAGACTCTCAAGCTCTCCCTTACCCTTTCCTCTTCCCGGGAGGCCCTGGAGCAGCCAGGGATAAAGACGGTGTACCCTTTGGCCCTCACACCTGGGAGCCCCAAGGAAAGGCTCAGCCCCCATAGCCCACGTGGGGGTCACCCTGCCCTGGCCCCACCTGGAGGGCAGCCCTGGGGAGACTGGCCTTGCAGCCTGGCCTCGCCTGGAATTCTCTCCTCCCCCTCTACCCTGGCCCAGCCTCCGGGTTTTGCCTCAGACGGTGCTTCCTCTCCCCACGAAGACTTCCCTGAACCTCCAAGCCCAGGACAGGTGCTCCCCTCCTGGAGTCGAAATGCCCACAGGGCCTACCCACTCTATCCTGCCTAGGTGTGGGCTGCTGGGCACCTGGCACACAGCAGGGGTTCAGAAATAGCCGTTGAATGATGAGGGAAAGAAGGAGGCCTCAACTGTGTTAATTCAGCTTAACCTGGCAAACTTGGAAGCCCCTCCCAGGTGCCTGTGGGGTCACCTCCTGCCGGTGCAGCCCATCTCTGACTTTCCCGCCCCCCTCTCCACTGCTGGGCACCTGCTCCTTCTGCAAAGGCTCAGGCTCAGCCACTCAGAAAGACAGCATGAGGGCAAGCAGGGGGAGTGGCCACTAGGACCACTGCAACCCCACACTCACGTTGGTGATCACCCGCAGTTTCCTGATGTAGGAAGCCTCCGTGTGCAGGAGCTCCCACACCGCCTCCTGCTGGTGGCACTGCCGCCGGGTCAGTTTCTAGAAGGAGGACAGGGTGGGTCAACCAGGAGCCCTGGAGTGTATTGGGATGGCCAGTGGAGGGTGAGCAACCTTGCATGCAACTTCCTAGTGGGGACATGGAGATCTCAAGAGGGCCAGGGTCACCCTTGCCATCACACAGATTACAGTTGAGACGCCAAAGTTCTAGGCCCTTCTCTGCCACTAAAGCAGCCAAGCAGTACACCATTTTCACCTAGCCTCAGTTTCCCCAAAGTGCACTAACGATAACAGCAGCCTCGTGGTGCTGTGCCACGGAACATCCTGACACTGGGTCCTTGCAGGACTGTCCCCCTTTCATAGGCAAGGAGGGAGGGAAGGGCTGCAGACTGTACTCACCTCGTGCCCATCGATGAGCTCTCGCCAGCTGTCCTCCAGCCTCGGGCAGGGGTTGTCCTCATCCTCGTCCTCATCGTCCCCTTCCTCCTCCCAGGAGTCCTGGTCGAAGCGCAGCCTCCGAGGCAGCCTGGGCAGCCCGAAGAGGCCGTAGGCGTGCAGCTTACCCTCCAGCTGCTCCATCTTATCCACCTCCTGGAAGGAAACATGTGGTCAGGGGCAGGAGGCAGGGCCAGCAGCTGCCCTGCCCCAGGGCCCACAAGGCCACATACCCTGCCAAAGGCGCTGTTGCTGGGGCCTGAGCTGAAGAAGCCGCTGAAACGACTGGCTGCCCGGTTCTTCCAGCTGTCGCTGCCCCCACTGCTGCTGCTGGGCAGAGAGCAGCTGGAGGGCGTGGGGGGCTCCTGCCCGAGGAGGCTTGCCTCCCCCAGGAATTCTGACATGTTCTTGCGGCGGCGGCCGGGAGCCTGGCCAGGGAGGGATGGTCAAGGCCAGCCACCCCCCAACCCCCATCTGCAGGACCTCAGGCCAGTCTGGAATGGGGAAGGGTCTCAGCATCCCTGCCCTAGGGTGCCACCTCTCCTGAGACCCAGACATGACTGGAGGCTGGAAGGTCCAGACACTGATACACCTGGACTATCTATAGTCCCCAGTCACAAGCATGAAGCGCACACACTCCGATGCACGTACAAATACACCTCCCAAGGGGTCCCACAACACACTCTCACTTCCCAGCACAAATGCTCTCATGTCTGCTCAGTCATGTACACACCTCACACTCAGACATACACATGCACTGACCCCCTGGGCACTACAAGACTCTCAGAGACAAGGCCCATCACCTTGAGATATGGTTAGATCCAGAGAGGGTCCCCTAGTCTCACAAGCAGTCCCATTGCCCAGAAGAGGAAATGAAAGCCCCAAGAAGGGGCAGTGAAGGACCCAGAGCTGAGAATCCAGCCTGGACACCTCCCACCCCCAGCGCTGACACAGCCCCTCCTCCTCACCAAGATGTCGAGGCTCTCCCGGCGGCTCTGGGGGTCCACACGTTCCAGCACCGGGGGCCCGGCCCCAGCCGGCCGCAGGATTGGCAGACTCAGGGACTTGGAGTCCTTCACACCCTGCTCCACCTTCCCCTCGTCCCCTGGCTTGGCTGGGGCACGTGTGGGGCAACAAGAGTCTCTCAGCGCCAGGTCTGGTGGAGGAGAGGCCCAGTCCCTTCTCCCTCCAGGATCCAAACCAAGGCCTGTCGCCCTCCCCCGCAGCCGCGCCCTGCCAGCACCCGCCACCAGCACCCAGCAAAGACACCTGTATGGTAATGAGTCTGCTCAGGGCCAGGGCCAATGGGAACCTGAGCCTGGGAAGGGCTCCCATCTCCCGGAGGCTCAGCTGGGCCCCAGCCACCCCACCCTGTCAGCCTGCCTGTGCAGCCTGCTGCTTACCTTTAACCCGCAAGTAGTGGCCTCCAAACCTGTAGGCCTCGAAGGTGAGGGACAGAGGCGTGTTGGACTGGTCCAGGTAGATATCCACTTTGCCCAGCGCAATGCCCTTCCTTTCAAATACAGGCAGCAGCACCTCCCTGCCCCCAGGACAGGAGGCATGTGTGTTACGGGGGCAGTCACACTTCCCCTGCCCCATCCAGAGCCCCAGCTCCACCTGCTTTCACAACAGAAAAGGGAGGCACACACAGGATCACACAGGCACATCTGCACACCAGGGCAGACCCATCACACGCCTGCCTACACCAAGGCCTAGGCCCTGCATACATGATTGGAATGCAAAGGTGCACAGACCCTGTCATGGTCCACACCCGCACGGGTCTGTCCACAGGTGGGGACTTGTTCATACACAGGCTACTACACAGACACAAATGGTCACACCTGCAGAAAATCAGTCTCCAACACGGGAGGCCACAACTGCCCTCAGCCCCACCAGGCCCTACCCCAGCGACTTCTTCTTCATGGCTGGTACGATCTCCGTCTCAATGTCCACGTTCAGGTCAAATTTCAGGGTGAAACACTCCTTGCTCGGGTCCTGGGAGGACACGGGGCCGTTAGCTTCTCCACTGCCACCCCTCATCGCGCATCCTATGGTCCACGTTGGGAATCCAGCAGGAAAGAGAATGCCAGGGGCCTCTCCACCCCTCCTCCTCCGGGGAGGCCCCTCCCACCCCGGGTGCTCCTGGAGCATCCCCCACCTGGACTAAGGTGGGCAGCGCTGGGCTGCAGGGCAGCATGGCAGGGAGGGACACTCACTGCAGACCCCATCCCTGGTCCTGGGGATGACAGCAGGGAGACCCCACTTCGGGGAAAGAAAAGGGCCTGGGAGGGGCAGGGGCCGTCTGGGAGCCCCCATCTGCCAGCCCTGGGGGCTCCTTACATCTGTGTGTCTCCTCCTTGCTTTCTTCTTGGAGAGTTTCAGGCCTGTGCTCTTCCGGTCCCTGCAGGGGAGCAGATAGGACAGAGGTTTGGGGTGCCGGTGGGCCCTCACCAGGGTGGGATGTGAGGGAGGGGAGGCCTTGGCTGGATCCCTACCCGTCACTCACCCCGGGTGACAAGTAACTCAGGTGCATCTGGCCGGGCCCGCATGGGGTTGTGCGCCCTCTGGTGGCCAGTATAGGAGTAACATCCAATGGGACCTAGTCAGGTGTCTGTGTCTGATTCCAGACACCCTGGAGGCTGGCCCAGGGGCTCCACCTCAAGGGATCAGGGGTGGGGAGGGGTCTGCCAATGAGCCCTTCTGGGGGAAGGCACCAAAGCATCTGGTCCCCGTATCTGTGATCTGACACCCAGCCTTGGGACCCTCCAGGTATCTGCTCGGCCCACCTATCCCTCACCTACCCTTTGCCATCCATGGAGCTTTCCTCCTCCTCCTCCAAGTCCACTGCAGGGCTGGTACGTGGCGGGCATGACCGGGTGGACACGTTCCGGGCCAGGACAGAGCCTTTGGACAAAAGTGGGAGGGGTTGTGCCTGCCTCCTTCCTGGCCCCTCCTTATCCCTCCAACACAGCCATCTCCAAAGGGACCGCAGGCTGTTACCCCTGGAACCCCCCGGCAAGTAGCTAGAGCCTTTCAGTTCTGCGAGGCAAGGAGCTCAGTCATTGTTATATATTTCCCCCCAGACCCAAAAGGACACAAGGGCCCTGGGATGACAGCCCAGGTTATGCTCTGCCCTCAGTACAAATCCACCTGTGGCCTCAGTTTGCCTGTCTATAAAATAAGGATGATGAAGCCCTGCCTCTGGGATTGCTGCAAGTGGAGACCAAAGTCTATGCACGGGTCTTTCAGGTCTCCCCTCCCCCACTGCTGCGAACACACCTGAAGTCCCAGGGGGCCCTGGCAGAGGGGGAGAGTCCTTTCGTCCTTCTGATCAGCTAGTGAGCCCCGCCACCCCTGCACAGCCAGTTGGTGGGGTGGGGGGGGCCTGGGCCAGGTCCCTATTCAGCAGGAGGGGTTTCTTGTTTCCGGCTACAAATTCTTGCTGACCTGGCCATCCACCCTCCGTCCCCACCCCACACTACCTCGCTAGGCCCACAGCCTGGCTTAGAGGATGTGCCCCAAGGATAAGCAGAGCTGGAAAGAAAGGGACTTCCCTGTGAGGCCAGGGACAGGGGCAACTGCGGCAGGTGAGAACCAGCAAAGAGAACACGGCACCCGATGGAGACGGGCCTGCCCTCAATGTGGGGCACAGTCCCCCGATTTGTAATCTTGCTAAAAAAACTTGTGGAATAAAAGGAACTGCAACATACTTGGATTTCATTATTTAGAGTCCACTCTTGTGTTTCTGGTGGCCCTATCACGGTTCCAACAGCTACCAAAATGCTGTCCCCTCAGACTGGGGGTTCAGAGCTGTCCCAGGAGCTCTAGGGGCCAGGCTGGGCCCCCCCCCCGCCCATGCTCACCTTGCGGGGGCAGGTCGAAGCGGACATGCCCGTCATAATGCATGGTGCTGTGGAATTTGCTGTCACAGGCCTCGCAGAGGTTGAGAGGCCCCCGCCGATGCAGCTGCTGGCAGTCCACGTGGTGGCATACCTGTGGGGCAAGGATGGGGAGGTGGGTCGGGCTGGGCCCCACAGGGCCACAGGCAGGCATACCTGCCACCTAGACTACTGCAGTGCACAGGTGGGGCTCCTGGCTGCCTGCACCGACTGCCCCTCATCATCCAACCACCCATTCCCTGCAGGGTGCCTCAGGCTCGTTAGTTCACTTGGCAAGCACCTACTCTGTGTCCTTCTCTATGGATGCAGAGAAAAGCAAAGCTGTGCCCTAACCACAAGGCTGGGGCTACCAGAGCCTCTTCCTGGGGCACAGGGAGAAAGGGACCCCCCAAAAGAAGCTTGAGGCTGCTATTCAGTTTGTCAGCTCAGTGTTGGAACCAGGACACCCTGAGCTCTGGCAAACCCCTCCACCCCTCTCTGCCCAGGCCTTCTGCCCTCAGTTTATGGCCTGCCTGGGCCCTGAACAGCAGACTCCACCCAATTCCTAAAGATCAGTGCCACGAGGTGCCTGGGCCATTGCTTGGTGACCTGAGCCTCAGTTTACCATACGGCCCCATCTACTCTCCCCCATCCTCACGGATAACTGTTTCATATCTTCTCTGTCCCACACCTGAAAAGGCCGCCCCTAACTCATTCCCCACTGACTACTTTGCTTCCTTCTTTTCCCGGGAAACAGAAGCCATTGGAAGGAGGCCTGTGAGCTCCCACCTGTATGCACACCCACCTGCCAGGGGGCTGCAGGGGCTTCGGATGAACTGCCCTGCTCCAGTCTGAGCCAGTCCTTCCTCCCAGATGTGCCCTTCCAGCGGGAGGAGCAGGGACAGGTCTGCCTTCTCCCCACGCTACATCGTCTCCCCTCCACCGGGTCATTCCCATCAGCACACTGACATGCTGTCGCTTCTCCGTCCTGGCCTCCCTTCACCCTCTAGCCATGGCTGTTTCCCTCCTTTGCTTCACAACTAAGGTCTGTAAAACAGGTATCTATACTCGAACTTCCTAGTTCTCTCCTCCCATTCTCTTTATTTCTCCCAATTCTCATTTTAAAATATTTCGAACGAACACAAAGTGCTAAGACTAGCACAATGACATCGATACCCCTGGTCGCTAACATCTGCCACATCCGCTTTCTCTCTCTGTCTCTCCTCCTCTTCACCCTCCCCTGGTGCAGAAATCATGACCTCGCCTCAGCACGAGGACCTTTTCCTACAAAACCCCTTATGACAGTTGTGTTCAGGAAACTGAACTTTGGTAGACAGTCTATCTGTAATCCACATGCACACTTTCCCAACTGAATAACGTGCTTTATAGATTTTTTCTCCATACAGAATCCAATCAGTGTTCACACATGGCATCTGGTTGTGTCTATTTACCCCTTTAAGAATAAACTCCCCTTAGAGCACAGCGTTATAACACCAAGGTCAAGGGTTCAAATCCCTATACAGGCCAGCTGCTAGAAAAAAAATAAACTCCCTAGTCTTTTTTCCCCATTTTTTTGGTCTTCCGTGACATTGACATTTTTTTTTTCTTTTTTTTTTTTTGTCTTTTTCCGTGTCCGGCAACGGATCGCAACCCTCAGTGTCACCCCCGTACCGGACCAGGACCGGCAACGGGATCGCAACCCTCGGTGCTGCTCCCGCGCCTCGCTCAGCCAGTGAGCAGGAACCGGTCTGTATGTGGGATCCAAACCCTCGGCGGGAGCGCCGCCGCGCTTCCCAAGCGGTGCACTATAGCAGTGCGCCACCGGGTTGGCCCGACATTGACATTTTTGAAGCATCCAAGCCAACAGTCTGGCAGTGTGGATTTAGCTGGTGGTCCTCAAATAGTTGAGCATGTGGGCAGGGACACCACAGAGCGGGTGCTGTGTTCTTGTCAGTGCGCCCGTGATAGCAGATCATCTGGGGATCTATAAAGTCCCTTTTCCTCCTGGTATTTAGTAAGTCCTCTGTGGGGTGACACTTTGAAATGTCTTATTCCCCAGTAATCTCACCCTCAGGGGCTTTTGCATACACTGATGACCTCTGTCTAAGTCGATGTCCCCACAATGGCTGCCTGTGAAGACTTTCTAGTTCACTGTTCTCCCTCAGCCCCTCATCCACACGAGGCTCGAGCCACCGAACTTGACTCAGGTGGCTCTCCCAGCAGCCTCCTCCCTGGCAGGGCCCAGGCCCCCCGTTCTTCTCTCACCCCAGTCCCCTCCGCTGCTTCCTGCCCATCTCCCCACCTCCCACTTTATGAATTTTCTACATTAACTCCCTAGTGACTGGTCTATTGTCATGACTTGAAACACTACCTGTGTGCCAAGGGCTCCCAAAGTTAAATCTCCCATCGGGCCCTCTCCCACGGCTCTGGACCCACCTCCTCAGCTCTCTGCTTGGATTTTTTTTTCTTTTTTCTTTTTTCTTTTTTTTGCAGCTGGCCAGTATGGGGATCTGAACACTTGACCTTGGTGTTACCAGCACCACGCTCTCCCTAGTGAGCTAACCAGCCAGCCCTCTGCTCCGATTCCAACAAGCATCTCAAACTTAAATCGTCTACACTTGAGCTCCTGAGCGTCTCCCTGCAGCCCCTCCATTTCAATTAATAGCAGCTTTTATCTCGTTGCTAGGTGTTATAGGTTGAATTGTGCCCCCCCCCAAAAGACACATTAAGTCCTACCCCCGGTAGTTCAGAATGTGACCTTATTTGGAAACAGGGCCATTGCAGATGTAATTAGTTAAGATTTACTCACTGGAGTGTGTAATCATAAAGTATGAAGTATAGAATAACCACATGACTGGTGTCCTTATAAGAGAAGAGACACAGAGACAGGACACACAGGGAGAAGGCTGTGTGACGATGGAGGCACAGATTGGAGTGATGCACCCACAAGCCAAGGAGCATCTGGGGCCACCAGAAGTTGGAAAGACAAGAAATGATCTTCTCCTAGAGCCTTCAGAGGGAGTGTGGCCCTGCTGACACCTTGACTTCAGACTTCTGGGCTCCAGATCTCACAGAGAATAGATTTTTGTTGTTCTAGAGCCAGTTGGTATTACTTTGTTACAGCAGCCCCAGGAAACTACTACATTAGGACAAAAACCTTGGGGTCACCATTGACTCTGTTAACCCACCAGGCTGTCAGTCTGAAAATTCTGTTGGCTCCACCTTCAGTAGCTGAGCCTCAGCCCACCACTGCCCCAGCCACCTCTCAGCTGAATGACAACAAGGGTCTCACAACTGGTCTCTGCCAGCCTCTACTCACAGCCATCCCCCTCTGTTCATGGACAGCCAGAGTGGACCCTGTCCAAAGAGGAGTCATATTATACCTAGACAAAATTCTCCAACAGTGCCCACCCAACTCCGACTAAAACCCAGATGTCCCCATACAGTGACCGCCCATCCTGCTGTCCCATCTCGGGTCACTCTGTTACAACTGCTGGCCACTTGGGCCATCTCTGACACGCTCCTTCAAGCGAGCTCCCACCTCTGAGCCTTGGCTTCTGCTAGTCCCTGACCTGAGATGCTCTTCAGCCAGATAGCAAACGTCTAGCTCCCTGTCTTCCCTGCCCTCCTTCAGATCTTCACTCCAAAGTCATCTTCTCGCCCTTCTGTCCCCAACTTTGCTCCTTTCTCTCTCGGGCACTTCCCACCACCTGACAGTCTGCGTATTCTAATTTGATGCCTCCACACCTCCTCAGCCCTGCAAGGACAGAAATGTTCGTCTGTCTGATTCCCTGCCCTATCTCCAGTCCTAGCCACTCAATAAATATTTGCTTAACTTAATAATTAGGGCAGTGGAGAGTTTTTGGCTGGGCAGAACCTGTTCAGAGATTTCCAAGATGACAGGGTGAGGATGGCCTGGACAGCAGAGAAAGCGACAGAAGGGAGGAGGCGGCCAGAAAAAGCATGTGCTCCATTTAGAATGTGGCCATCACATCCCTGGGACTGCACTGAGAGCCTTATCATCCCACAAGGTAGGGGCTATTATTGTCTCTGTTTTACACAAGAGGAAAGCGAGGTTCCGAAAAGTTAAGCAACTTGTTTAAGGTCACATAGCCAGTGGAGCCAGGAATTGAAGCCAGTGTGTGCAGCTCCAGACCCCAGATTTTAACCACATCCACACCATCTCTTGGGTATCTGAGAAGGGAGATGCCAGCGGGGGAGGCTGGCTTTGGGTCAGCCCGGGGGCTATGGAGACAGTAGGACATCAGTCAGATGCTCACAGTCTTGGCTGCTGGGACTCTCTACTCCATCACACAGAAAAGGGAACGGGGCACAGAAACGGCAGCCAGTTGGGGGCAGACTGAGCAGGCCCACTTGCTCGAGGGGAGCTGACTTTTGTGGAGCTGGGCTCTGGGCAGGCAGCTGTGGACACTATGACCCAGATTCCTGATGGCAGCCTGACTGCCAGGCATCCGCCACTTCCACGCCCTTCACTAGTGGTCTTCAGCTGTGCTGTCGGGGCTTGAAGTAGGGGTGAGGGGCTCCTGGTTTCTGGTTCCTGTCTTTACTTAATCTACTGCTAAAGAAAGTATGAAAACCGCTCCACTATCGCTATCCTCAGCCCAGGCTCTGCCTCCACCTCCCATCCCCCTGCCCCGTCCCTCCTTTAGTGACCAGCACATGACAGCTGCTGCTACAACTGCTTCTACTGACTGGAGCCAGCGCCCAGCCCCTAGCTGACCACATCTGCCTCTGACCTCGCTGCAGCGCCCAGAGCCAGGCCCAGGATCTGAACCTGGTGTTTCAGAGCAGGTCTGGTTGAAGATGAAGTCCTGGAAACTCCCAGGAAGAACCATGAGCCCAACTGAGAGGCTGAGGCGGGTGGGCAGAGCCCCCTTGTGCAGTTTCTGCTCCCCATCCCTCCTCACACACATCCCCCAAAACAGGGTCTCCCCAGCACTAAAGCCGGGTGCCCCCTCCCTGGCTTTGTGCCTGCCCACCATGTCCACCTCTGAGCGCAGCAGCACCCCTGCCAATAGGGGATGGGCAGGCAGCAGGGTCCTGGGCCAAAGTTCCCAGGACTCAACCCAAGGGAGGAGAGAGCCCCCGGGCCTG